CCCAAACTTCATTTTCCATAAAAGTTTGGGGCCACAAATCCTCCACATTCCTGTTTTAAAATAGTTTTAAGTATGTCCAAAAATAGTCTGAGAATGTTTTTCACATACATATGCAGACAAAACACTCACACACATAAAAATCCTTTTTTAAAAACATGCCTGCCTCCATCTATCATTTTTATAAATTCCACTGTTTCTTTTTATTAATTCCCTTCATATTGTATCTAAGCCTCCTGTCCAAACATTAAATAAATATTAACCTGTGTCCTTTCTTATTCTCTTCAGGATCCAGTTTTTACCTTTAAAACTCATTTATTTTGGTGTGAGGATGGGAACCTAGCTTTTTTTTTTTTTAATTTTATTTTCTGTGTATAGGTGTCTTGTCAGTGTGCCCTCGAAAGGCCAAAATAAATAAATAAATTAAAAAGGCATCAGACCCCCTGGGACTGGAGTTAAAACTGTGAGGCTACATGTGGGCGTTAGGGCTTGAACCTGAGACTTCCGGAAAAGCAAACAGTGCTCTTGGTTGCTGAACTATCACCCCCCTTCCGAATAGCCAATGTTGCATTGTCTCAACATCAGGTGTTGAATGAGTCGGTGTTTACTCATCTTCAAAATTCTGCTTTCGTATCATCAATGCCCTCATGTGCAGTACCTCGTCGGATCTCAGCTGCTCTGAGCGTGGCATCTGCCTTCCGCACGGCATCGTCTAGCTTGTCGAGGCCTCAGTTAGAGAAGCATCACCATATTTTCTGTGCTCCAGGTTCAGTGGGGTTTTTAAGGTTTATGTTTGATTATGTTTGTATTTATCTCTGTATCGGTTTGTGCGCTTGAGTGTAGTGCCCGAGGAGAGCAAAGGAGGGTGTCGGCCTCCAGAGCTGGAGCCACAGGCAGCTGTGAGCCACCCAACATGAATGCTGGGAACCAGACTGTGTACTCTGCAAAAGCAATGCAGACTCTTCGCCACGGAGCAGCCCCTCCGATCCATTGTGTGTGTGTTTATATATATATATATATATATATATATATATATGAACGCCGTATATATGTACAAATGAAAAGGGAGAAAACCAAAGTGGTTCTTTAAAAAAGTCTTTGTGCTTTGGAGGGGGAAAGTATTTAGATTACAAAAGAGTGGCGAATCTTTCTCCTCAGCCCAGCACTTATTGGTCGTGAGCATGGTGGTTAAGGTCACAGTGAAGAAAGTCGAGTTAAAGTTATCGACAGTAGTGGGCATAGGAGTGGCTTAGAGTGAAGTAGGTGATCCCTGGTTGGGTTTCTTTTTTTTAATTTTATTATTTTCTGGGTGTAGGTGTCTTGCCAGTGTGCACATCTGTGCATGACATCTGTGCCCTCAAACGTCAAAAAAAAAAAAAAGTCAGAAGATCCTAAGAAAGTAGGAAAGGGCATCTCTCGGTTGGATGTGGTGTCGAAGGTAACATTAAAAAACAAAAACAAACAAACAAACAAACAAACAAAAAACAGTCAACTAATTTCCCGCCCAAACAAAGCAAAGGTCAGTCTGGTCCCTCTTGGCCCTAACTTTAAGAGAAGCTCTTTCCGTCCCCTCATCTGCCACTCTAATCCAGGGTCCTCTCGGCGTGGTGCCACACACGGGCTGCGCGCATCCCCAGCCCTGCGCAGTCCGTCCTCCGCAGCACAGCCAGAAGGACGGGTCCCTCGAAAATACTGTGTCTGGGCTGGCAGGATGGCTCAGCAAGGACCGCTACTTGTCTCCAAGCCTGGTGACCTAAGTGTCATCGCTAGGGTTCACGGAGACTCTAGTTGTCCTCTGACCTCCCTCCTTACACCCTGGCATGTGTACTTACACATCACAGATACGTGAATAAATATGTAAACACACCTACATACATACGTATATGTGTACGGTTACTGAATAAACAAAGAAGATAGTAAGGAAGTGGAGGCAAGTTCTGCTTCGTCCTCCCAGAAGGCGAGGAGACGGTATAAGAACTACAGCTGGGTAGTATACATATGTATACATTCCATAGATATGTATTCATACATCTGTACTCTGTGTGCGTGCGTGTGTGCGTGCGTGCGTGCGTGTGTACAGGTCTGATCATGCCAACTACCTGTGATAAAAACCCTTCGCTGATAGTGTTCACGTGGTGGCCGTTCTTTGAAGTGGCCCAGCTCAGTGTCCCTCAGGTTTCCCCTTATCCCGGCCTTCCCCCAGTCTCCTGTCTTTTCCCCATAAGAATTGACTGGAGAATTGAATATTTTTGATTGCGGTCTGCCCTAGAAAGCAAGATTCCGTGTTTTAAAAATCACGTTTTAAGGAAAAGAGCAGCCGTCTCTTTTTTTTTTTTTCTTTTCCTTTTGTGTGTATATGAGTGCGCGTGCTTGCGCTGGCACAGGCCCGCCACGGGCACAGAGGTAGCTTACCCTCCTGAGACCTCCAGAAGCCCTGCCCTGCCCTCAGCAGGGTCGTTTTCTGCTCGCACGCAGTCCCAGTCAGCAGTGTGGAATCACTGGCTGTTAGATCTGAGTGTTGTTTGTCTCCTCTGCTCTACTGTAAGCCCCAGTTGTGCCAGAATTTAGCCGTTTCACTCTCAGTATAGTGTCAACAAAGGAAGCTCTCAGGAAATGCTTGCTGATTATTTTTGTTTACAGCCTACCCAAGAAAACAAGATTTCGTTAAAAAAAAAAAAAAATCATGTTTTAAGAGAGAGCAGTGGTCCCAGGTAGATATCTTGAAGCTGGAGTTACGGGCGGCTCCTAGTCATCTAATGTAGGTGCTAAGAGCCTCTGCAAGAGCAGCATGTCCGCCATCATGCCAGACCTCCCCACCAAAAACCTTTAGATTTTTATCGACATATTAATGCTAGTTGTATTAATAAACCCTCTTTCAGTGGAATGTGATCTTCTGCTTTGAAAGCAGCCTTCCATTTTTCTCTCACGTGGAACCTGAATAGAATAAGCATCTTAAAAATGGCAGGATCTCTTAGTATATATATTTTTGTTTAATTATAACAGTTGGCATTTCATATATATGGCTCAATATGTTTACAGGTTTATTTATTGTATATTATTTTTATCTGAGAAGCATGTGACCACAGAATACATTGTGAAAAGAAAAGTACTGAAAAAACTCATACATTATACTACCAATTCCGATTAGTGTGTTACCTTCTGGCCTCCTCCACTCGCTGCTAGGGATTTGACCCACGACCCTGTGTGTTCTAAGCAAGCGTGCTACCAATGAGCTACAGTCTCAGTCCTCATTTAGTATAAAAAGTTACATAAAATTGTGTATACTGTTTTCCCCTACAAATGCCTCACCGTTGCTTGATCAAAGCATTATGCTGCACGTGGTAGGGGAGATGAGCGTTCCTCAGTGCTCAGTGCAACAAGCGCTTATGCAGGCACACAGCACGGGTCTTCAGTCTTTACCCCTGGCGCCATTCAGAACGGAAGCAAACCTGCCCCTTGACAGAACAGTGATAGAACAGCAGTTGCGCAGCTCCCAGAGCCGCCCGGGTGTGTTTCTGACGCCTCCTCTCCTCCTGGGAGGACGAAGCAAAACTTGTCTCCACTTCCTTACTATCTTTTTTCTTTGTTTATCCAGTCACTCGATCACTTGCCACGTCCTGCAGTTGTAGCGATGAGTGACGGTCTCTGTCTTCTAGTGGGAGAACACAGGTCATGCCACATAAAGGAATGAATGATGGATGGATGAATGAGTGAATGAATCAGGTGAGAAGTTGAATTTTTAAGAGCAACAGGGATAAACTGAGGGCATAGAGAAGGGGTTGCTCTTCTCCAGGATCAGGAAAGCCTCCTGAATTGTAACCTTGGACCAGATTCCTAACAGCAGTAAGGAGAGAGCCCTGGGGCTGTCAGGGAAAGAGTTTGCTCCTGATTCTTGAAGTACTGTATTAGTTACTTTGTTTACCGTGACAAAACCCCACGACCAAGGCAACTTATAAAAGAAAGCATTTAACTAAGTTTATAGTTTCGGTAGTGCCGAGTCCATGGTAGTGGCACAAAGGCATGACAGCAGGAATAGTGGAGAACTCACACCCTGGTCCAAAAGTAGAAGACATCAGAACAAGCCTGGCATAGAGCAAGTCTTCTGAAACCTCAAAGCCCACCCCAGTGGCATACCTCCCCCAATGAGGCCACACGCTTTCTAATCCTCCCCAAACAATTCCACCACGGGAACCAAACATTTAAACGTGAGCGTGCGGGTGCCATTCTCATTCAAGTCACCACAAAGACGAGAGCCCCAGGCTTAGACGCTTTATGATTTCAAGTAGCGACGAGCTAGAGTGGGAGCCAGGGTAACCAGGAGTGGATGGTGGGCTTGCTAGACAAGTGAGGCCTCTGGCGTCTCCTGGGAAAGGTGAGAGACAGTAGGGGGAGAAGTAGTAGGTAGTGACGAGCCTGCCTGGCCCTGCCCGCTGTATCCTCTGTTTTCTCTGTCCCTCTTCTGAGGCCCAGTAGTTCTGTTTTTGTCACCCCCAGGAGGAGTGACCTTGTTCCAGAGTTTGAAGACACATCATTCCCACGCATAGATGTAAATGAGCTTCACCCTGTGGTATCACACAGTCAGAATCTGTAACCAGAGCCAGGCACATTCCAAGCCTTTGAAAAAGGATACAACTTTGATGTCTTATTTGCTTATCTGTTGCTCACTGGAAAAAAACCTGTTCTCTGGAAACAATGATCAAATATATTTTTCAAACTACATATGACATGTCACCTAACATAGCACCCTGTCAATCTGTAATTAGTAAATAGTTTAGCAGCCAGCTTTGTGTTTTATCCTTTTTTTTTTTTTTTTTGGTTGGTTGGTTGGTTGGTTTGGAGGGGGAGGTTAATTATAATATTCTTAGAATTGCTTTGTGGTCAGATCTGTCATAGGCCGGGAACAGATCCCGGTAGCATGCTCTAAACAGTTAACTTCTGGAGGAATTAGCTGTTATAGGTACACAGTAATTGATTTTTTTGTTTGTTTTTTCTTCTGGTTATAGGAAGAGAGATCACAGCTTTCCCAGACTACAAGAAAAAAATATGGAATGTGTTGTAGCACTGACTGAGCCTAACCAAATGAACTGTACTGGCAGAAGTTTGAAAACCAGCGGTTGACAACTCCTTCAGACTTCAACATTGCCCAGCACTTTCGAGAACAGACTCTCTGTTTACAAGAACTCTTGGCCTCCCAAAGTCAGCAACCTCAAATTTTGTTTATTTAAAATACTTCTGCAAAAGAAAAGTACCCCAGAGTCCATTTTCCAAAATGGCTATGGATGAGTATTTGTGGATGGTCATTTTGGGTTTTATTATTGCTTTCATCCTGGCATTTTCAGTTGGTGCAAATGATGTCGCCAACTCCTTTGGCACCGCGGTAGGCTCTGGCGTGGTGACCCTGAGACAGGCATGCATCCTGGCCTCAATCTTTGAAACCACCGGCTCTGTGCTATTGGGAGCAAAAGTGGGAGAGACCATCCGGAAAGGCATCATTGATGTGCACCTCTACAACAAGACTGTGGAAATCCTCATGGCCGGGGAAGTGAGTGCAATGGTTGGTGAGTAGCTTTAATCTCTGCACCCGTGGGAAGTGTCGTCCCCTTACTACCATTCCCAGGAGCGGGGTGTTTCTTCAAACTGTTAGAAGCTGGGTTAATTCTTTGTGTTTGCTGTACGATATTCACCGCCTGGACTTGATGATTTTAACAACCAAGCTCTATTTTTCCCCAAAATTTTAGCCACTTTAAAGTATATGTAGGCCTCAGGTTACCACTTGTAGAATATTAATTTGCTGTTTTAGGGATATGTTAAAGTTATTAAAATATATATACATATCAGTCACTATGTTTTAAATTTTTACCTATAACCAACCTTGGAAGTTGATTTATGTTTTTTATAATGACTTTTTGTCACATATGATAGAATGTTTCAAAAGTGTATATATCATGTGACGAAATGCCTAGCATTCATGAGGCCCTGAGGGCACCCCCCCTAATTTTACTACAAAAAAATAATGGGAACTGGGGATGAGGTTCAGCCTCAGAATCTGTCCTCAGCATGTGCAAGGCCCTGGCAATCTCCAGTACCAAGGCGGAGAAAGACTGGTTAATTTAGCCTTTGTGATTTTAATTTACACTTCAATCTATAATTTCATCAGAGTCAACTAAAATTGAGATTTTTTCCCCCCTCGTTAAGGCAGAGGTTCACAACCCTTTTGGGGAATAACAAAAGGTTGAGTATCAATGCATTAAAGTATTGTGAGACAAAGGTATTAAATAGCACAGAAGGAATAAAGAGAAACTGACAGATTCAGTCCTCGGTGGAGGCTCTTCCTCCTGTGGAGCCTCCAAGGCTGAGGCCCTGCTTCTCACAGGCAATGTAGCTGCCACTTCCCACTTCTCCCACCCTCGGCCTCTGGCTCTTTATTCAAAGAGTAAAGATTTTTTTTTTTTTTTTTTTTTTTACCTCAACTAGAATTTGGGTTTACCAAGGCAATTTGAGGGTTTGTCTGAATAGTACGATTCCTTCAGGTTTCACTCTTTTCTGGTTTTGTTTGGGGCTGGTGGTTGCTGTTGCTCTTTCCTTTTTGGTTTGTGGGTAGATGAATTTCAAAGCTTGTTTGGTTGGGAATTTGTATGACTTGTCCAGATTTCAAAAACTGAATTCCTTACAAGTGGGAGCTATGTGAATTTAAGATGTCAATGTCACTGCTACTGACCAAACCCAAAGCTGAATCTCTTGAGAATCCTGAACCCTCACTGTCTTTACTCTCCTCTCGATTCTACCTCCGTTTTTTTTTCTTCCTCTCTCACTTTGCCTTTTCATTCTGCTGCCTCCTCTACCGTCATTCTCTTTATTCCATTTCACTCTCTTCTGTTCCAACTTCTTCAGACCTAGGGCCTCTGTCCTGCCTAAAGGCCTGTGTCAGAGTTAAGTGGCCTGAGTAGATGCTACTGTGGATGCCACCTAAGTCATCTTTAAGACCCTCTCTTAGCCCTGTGGAAAGGCAACCCACTTGTATGAGGCCACCAGTGCATCCAAAAGTGTGAAAATTCAAATCCCAGCACCCTCATGGAAGTGCCCACACTGACATTTGAGCTCACACCTCCTCACCCTTCACTTCTGTTCTCACGCAGCACCCTCCCCTCACACCTCCCTTCTTCCTTCCCTTCACTGTGACCCTGCACCTTTGTCCCCTCTGCTTAATCTCCCAGACACTACTTAGTACCTCAAAGAAGCCTGGCTCCCATTTCCCGTTTCACTTGGTAGCTCTGTTCCATAGTTCATCCCCTGCCTCTCCGTGGGCTGTCATTGTCTCATGTTACAGTTTCTTTCTTGAGTTTTCTTCTGGGCATACATGTGACCCTAACCCCTTCAGCAGTTCCCAAGGGAGAAGTGGCTCCTGCCCACTGCCTGCCCCTGTGCAAACATGCCTCCTGTGCTGCTCCTTCACTCTGACCCTCTCTCACTCCCTCTCCCCACGATCCCCACCCCTCACTGTAATTTGTAAAGTGAGCAAGAAAAACCATGGCAGCTCTCAGGAAGGGAACTGCAGCCCAAGTGTGACAGAGTGAGTTTAGAGCATCTGCCTGCATCCCGAGGCGAACTTTATATGGATATATAAAACCATGAAGTTAACACCCTTAAGTTCCAGTTCTGGGCTAGGAAACATGATCCTAACTGTGGTTGTATGTGTAAGGCAGCCAGTTGCGGCTGACCCAGGTCACAGAGGTGGGGCCTTGGGAACTGTCCAGGGAAAGGCAGGTGCTACCCTGAAGACTTGGCACATTACAGTAGCACACAGACGATTCCATCTTCACTTCCCCCCACCCCACACACACACACTTTAGAGATGTATATGGCGCCACAGCCAACCTCAGCTCAAAGGTCAGTACTGGCCTTCGCTGGAGCAACTGTCTACTTTGCCTCATACACAAGGACCTATGTGGCCTTAGATGGCCCTCCTGCTGCTCACATGTCTTTGTAGAAAAGGCCGCTGCTAGGCAGCCTGATTTTCAGAGTTAACATCTGGGCTTAGTGATAGTCCACTCTGTCAGCCCAGCTTCTCTGCTGCTCCGTCCTGTTTGCCCTTTTCAGCAACCGCTGTTGAAAGGGGTATCTCCCAGCTGATACCCACAGTGCGCCCTGCCACATATGAGCCGCTATGGAAACGTCCGCAGTGACCTATAGCCTAGAAAGACCAAAAGCTTGGAGCCCAAGGCCACACTCAGAGCTTCCAGTATTGCAAGCCAGGTCCGAGAGCAGGCGTCTGGTTTCAGGTTAACTATCTCAGTTATTTTTCAACGCGAGGCCAAGGGCAGCGCAGCGTTTTACTCTCTACTACACGGCCCATCTCAAGCTTGTCTCATGAACTACAAGACATTAAAAAAAAACCATCCTCCCGGTGTATTCTCTTTAATTCTTTATTACGTAGTGTGTCTTAATTTCTTGCTTAGTGTGTCCAGATTTTATAGGAGAACAGCTCCTCACTGACACCCTTACCCTCACGGGATGGCCACGAATCATCCTGAGCGATTACAAAGTGTTTAGCACGGTAAGAAAACAACCCAGAGCAAGTTAAACTTGGGGCCACGTTAAATGGAGACGCTCTCTCCCTGCCAGTTTGCTCAGACGCTGTGTTGAGTAGATGGTGCTTTCACTGCTCTGTCCATCCGTAGGTTCAGCCGTGTGGCAGTTGATCGCGTCTTTCCTGAGACTTCCAATCTCGGGAACTCACTGCATAGTTGGTGCCACCATTGGCTTCTCGCTCGTGGCGATTGGTACGAAAGGAGTGCAGTGGATGGAGCTCGTCAAGATTGGTAACTGCCATCTTCTTTCACCCCCAGCCAGCGAAGTGTGCCTCTTCCAGTGCAGGTCTTACGAAAAGAAGCTTTTGTGATATTTTTCCTTCAGATGTTAAGGTTTGGACCTGTGTTACACGGGCAGGCGGTGCATTTTCCTTTACAGTTGATGGAGCAACTTCCCTGCTCGGTGTCAGTTTTAACTCCCACTTTTAAAAACATTACAGCATCACCTAGCTTTGAAAAACCATATCTCATTTGCTCTGGCCAAGAAGAGAAATTTACTTCACTGAAAGCAACATATGGTCTGAGGAAGACTTCGGCGAGGCTTAAGGGAGGAAAATCCGTAAACCCAAGAGTCAGTGGTCATGGGGAGGCCCCAGAATGAAGCCAGTGTTGTTCATTTTGCTGAGTCGTGGGTCTGCCCCCTGGAGGAAGCACTGCAGGGTTCCTTCCGGGTTGCAAGCCAGTGACCATCCCCAGGGGTCCAGCTACCCTTAGCTAGTGAAGAATCCTCTTGGAGGCGCATCTGTACCAGTGCCATCCCTGCCCTGCAGGTTGTTCCTTCTTTCCTAGAACCGTCATAACCCAAGGAGCTATAGGTCATGACGGATCCCTGGCCTGCCAGTCATGAGCACAGCTACCATGGAAATCCCTGTATGTCTCAGGCTTCCGGAAAAACAGCCCTCAACTCTGGCCCATTAAACTCCCTGCAGGAGCAGTTAAAGTATCTATGCCCCGATCTTATTCTGCGCCTCCAGAATTCTGGGGCTGGGGTCAGAGCATCCCTGGTGTTTCAAGACTCCCAGGGGTTTCTCAGTGTGGCCGGAATTTGGAAGCAGCCAGTAGAGGCTAACATTAGAGATTTCTAGTCATTAAATGTCAGGAAGGAAAGCACCAGGCTGGCTGTGGTTAAAGGAAATGGAACACGGCCCTCTTACCCTTGCTATTGGGACAACAGACTCCACGTGTATTGACAAAAGCAAGTTAGGTGGCTTAGAGCGGTGGTTCTCAGCCATCCTTAATGCTGAGACCCTTTATGGTGACCTCAACCATAACATTATTTTTGTTGCTTTCATAGCTGTGATTTTTGCTACTGTTGCAAATCGTAATAGAAATATCTGATACGCACAATATCTGATACACAACCCTCAAAGGGGTCAGGAACCACAGGTGGAGAACTACTTGCTTAGAGGGAGCTATCTGTAGACTGAGGCTAAAGCTTGGTGGACGGGAACCTCAGTGTAACCAGCTGTATGTGACTGCGTGTGTGAGGAGAGTTATAATGAGGGATGGCTTTCTGACATACGACATATGACATATGGCAGATAGTTCTGGTAATATGTGTTAGTATATGTGAGGTATTGCTTCTTGTTGTCTTGTATAAATATACTTGAGTGTAAGTCTTAGCACTCACTGGCTGTTCTTTTCACTCATTCAGTGGCTTCCTGGTTTATATCCCCACTTCTTTCTGGCTTCATGTCTGGTGTGCTGTTTGTACTGATCAGAATGTTCATCCTGACGAAGGTAAGTGAGGCAGCTTCTTTTGTCTTTGCTTTATTTTACCAAATTTTTGCTCAGTGGAAACCAGTAACCCTAGGTCGGTGGGAGCATTGGGGTTTCATTGCTAAGGCACACCTGGAGTTTGAGTCAGAGGTTGGCATGAGTGCTCAGAAGCCTCCTTGAAGGGCCACAGCACACAAATGCTGCTTCATGGCGCTATAATTTAGTTCGTTAGCCTCTAACTCCCAGAAATTGGGCTCAGACCTCAAAAGTGAAAGGTGATTATTTCCTGGTTGTTAAACAGAATATTTAAAAAAAAAAAAAAAGTGATAAGATTTTGAAATTGAGCCTGGTGTGTTGGCGCACACCTTTGATCCCGGCACTCGAGGAGGCAGAGGCAGGTGGATCGCTGTGAGTTCGAGGCCAGCCTGGTCTACAAAGTGAATCCAGTACAGCCAAGGCTATACAGAGAAACCGTGTCTTGAAAAAAAAAATATTTTGAAATTGAATCATTATTAAAATCAGCTGGACAATCTCTTTACTCAGTGTAGTCAGGGTGACCATGGCAGTGATGGACACTGATGGACCTATGACTATAGCAACATGGGAAGGAAGGGTTATTAAACTTGCACTTCCAGGTCACAGTCCATCACTGAGAAGTCAGGGCAGGATCTCAAACAGGGAAGAAACCTGGAGGCAGGAGCTGATGCAGAGATCATGGAGGGTGCTGCTTACTGGCTTGCTCCTCACGGCTTGCTCAGCCTCTACGGCTGAGCTTTCTTATAGAACCCATAACCACCAGCCCAGGGATGGCACCACCCACAATGAGCTGGACCCTCTCCCATCAATCACTAATTAAGAAAATGCCCTACAGACTTGCCTTCAGCCAGAGCTTATGAAGGTTCCCTCCTCTCAGATGACTATACCTTGTATCAAGTTGATGTAAAACTAGCCAGCACAGGTGATTTTCCATTTTTTTTTTTAATGAAGAAACACTGGCTTATTTTAAGAGGATAAAAAATAAAACACAGAGATTCATTTTGTCTTTTAAAAAAATAAAATAAAAAGAGCTGGATGTAGTGGCGCAAGCCTTTGATCCCAGCACTCAGGAGGCAGAGCCAGGCAGATGTCTGAGTTTGAGGCCAGCCTGGTCTACAAAGGGAGTCCAGGACAGCCAGGGTTACACAGAGAAACCCTGTCTCGAAAAACGAAAACAAAATAAAACAAAAATCTGGGCATGGTAGAAGGAGCCTTTACTCCCAGCACTTCAGAAATAGAGGCAAGCAGGGCCAGCCTGATCTACATAGTGAGTTCCATTAAAGGGCTTCCCATCACTGTGATAAAATACCGAAAATAAGCAACTCACACGGAAGAAGGTTATTTTGGACCAGGATTTCCAGGATTTCAACCCATGGTTATTTGTCTGTCTCACTTTGAGCCAGTGGTAGCCCAGTCCATCCTGCATCTGGGGTCCCTGGCTTATGACTCTGCTCTGTCTGGTTTCAGGGGCCCTCCCTGCCATGGTCAAATGTCCATCCACTATGCTCCACCTCTTAAACATTCTTCCACTTCCTTTTAGTGCCTTTAGGGGACATACAGGACCCAAGTTACAGCAAACTACCTCCCCCTCGAGCTGTATTTTTGTAGCCATTACCCATGCTGTCTTTGTTCTTCCCTCCCTGTGCCCTTCTTCCCTGTGGTGCCCTTCATGCCACCATGTGCTTGCGCCTGACCAGCTTTTACTCTGCACATCAACGCAGGCAGTGCTTGTCTTTCCAGGCCCACCGCACTTCACATCACACAGTGTGCTCTAGTTGTAGCCACGTTACTGGCAAGTGACAGGATGCCACCCCTTTGTGGGTGAATGATAGTCTACGTTATATGTCACATTCTTTAGCACTTTGATTCATCTTTGGGCACTTGGTTGACTTGCAGAAATACTTGAGAAGCTGTAGAGCCTACCATTTTTACTTTGTTTAATTTATTAGCATTATGTATGTGTGTGTGTGTATATATATATATATATATATATATATATATATATATATATATATATAGCCGGAGGGCTCATGTGCACAGCACATATGTAGAAGTTAGAGAACAAGTCTGTGGAGCTGGTTGTCTCTACTTTTATGTGGTTTCCAGGGAGTGAACTTGGATTGTCAGGCGTGCACACAAAGCCGTTGTACCAACTGAGCCATCTCACCAGCCCCGAAAGTCTACGTTCAATGGTTATGTTACATACTTGTCTTCCCTATTCACAATTCCGCTTTCTGCTTTTTTCAGTCAGAAACATGGCCGGATAAGGGTCAGAAAATATTAAATAGAAAGTTCCACAAACAAACAAAAAAATGCGCCAGTGTTACGTTGCGTGCCGCATGGGTAATGTGGTAAAGTCTCATCCCACCCAGGACCCCCAGCACAGGCTGTGCCCTCTCCTTTGCCCCACATGTCCACGCTGTACCTGTTACCCACCGCTCATCTCTCAGCCATCCCTGTTACTGTAATTTTTGTGTTGAAGAGACTCTTATGTGGAAGCCCAGCGCTGTGTCATTCTCATCACTTCATCTCATCACAGAGGGACTGTATCACCTCACTTCATCATTAGGTGAAGAAGGGGGGGGATGGCAAATAAGATCGAGAGAAAAGACTTTCACATAATTACTGTCCACATACATAGTCATAATTGTTCTACAATTGTGTTATTATTAATCTCCTCCTGTGCCTCACTGTAAGTCTGTCATTGTGTGTGCATGTAGATAAATTATAGTGTATAAAGGCTTGGGTTTCAGGCATCTCTTGGAAGCCTTGGAATGCCTTCCACATGGATCAAACAGAAGAGCTGCCTATGCTCACTCAGTACACTAAGGACATACCTTCCTCCGTGTCTTGCCTGAAAACAGAACTCTGTTTTCTTAGTATTGCCTGTTAGCCACTGAAGGAGTCCTTCTGTTGAATAAGCACAAACTTTGTTGTCATTGTGTCTCGGCATTCTTTCTCTGGCCTAGCACTGGCCACATTCTCTGGCCTAGCACTGGCCACATTAAGGTTGGCTTACATCTTGGCTCCTGGCCTTCAGCAGTACTGTTTCCTCTCCCTAGACTTTATCCTCAACTAGAACAGTCCTGTGCAGCTTCCTGGTGTCATTTCCCGGGGCACTCTCCTGCCCCAGAGCTGGCAGCTTCCTCCTTTCTGCTCCGGGAACTCCGCTCTCTCAGCGCACTTGGCACTGTGTGCAGTGTTCTCTCTTGTCTCCTGCCTGCTTGCGCTGTGACTGTGTGATGTGTGGGGGTGGAAACCATGAGGGTCTTAGTCAGTTTGAATCCCAGTGCCTTCCCGTGTGCTTATCACCTTTAAAGAGACTTGCTAACAATTTGATAAGAGCATATAATGCCGCTGAGCACCGAGATCTAGTTGAACCAGACTCTGATTCTACTGGAGACCACTGGGGTCTTGGTTCAGGGGAGAGGCAAGTTTTGCATTCAGAATCTCTGGTCTCTTGTGGTTCTCTCTCCCTCCCTATCTCCTTGCCCTTCCTTCTCTTCCCTTCTCTCCCATTTTCTCCATAGTTCTTACTACCAGGAGGTTTTGTTCAAAGAAGCCAGAAACAGATCTATTGGGCCTAAACAGTATGTTTGTAAAGAATAGAAAAAGAAAATAACAGGAAAATGTTTATTTCTGAAGAGATAAGATTCAGATCAATTTTTTCTTAAAAGATTTTTTTTAAGAGCATCTTCCCTTGGGCCTTTTAGAATTTCCACAGGGGAAAAAAAAATAGAATTTCCACAGACAATGCTACAAGTGCGGTGTTAACTTCCCTGGTACATGAGAAACTCCCCCCCCCGACCCCCGACCCCCGACCATTCCACCCCAACCTAAACAACCTCACCTCAGCTCACTGCTTCCCAGGCCACTGCATCCTGCCCTAGCCAACTCGGCCTTCCCTCACCCAAGCCCCATCCATCCAACATTGACCCAATGCCCAATCTCAGTGCAAAGCACTCAGCTTCTCTAAAAACATCATCCAGAGCCTGCACCAGCTCCCGTTACTACTCCCTCGCCTGGCTCCCTGCAGTTTAAAACATCCCATCCCATTCAACCTTCCTGTTTACCTGCACGGATGCTCTCTGTCGCCTTCAACAAGAACAAAATGTCTGAGAACCTGAGGGGAGGAGAGAGAGAGGGAGAGAAAGAATATGCTGGATTTTTGGATGAGTAACAATGAGAAGTGGATGGGTAGGAAGAGGAAGGGGAAAAGGAGGGAAGGGAGAACAGTCTCGAGGATGCCTTGTCTTGTCCACCTTCAGAAGTTATTGGGTGGGAGACTTAGACAGCCATGGTTCCCCCCCAGAATAATGCATTTTCTAAAGCCAATGGCAGGAAGCACCTGTGTGTCCTGCCATGTTCAGTTCAGCTGGGGCTATCTGTGTGGCACACCTCAGGCGGCACACCAGCTTTGTATAGCACCCCTTCCTCCAGCTCTGTCATTCATTTGTTTTCACGTTTGCCCCCTCATACATCCCCTGCCTGGTCTGGGGGCCGCTCACACGTGGCTGGACCATTTGCTGTACCTTGTTACATTCTCAGTGCTTCACTGCCGTCCAACACAAGCCTTCACACCCGTGCTGGGAGACGAAGCATTCCAGAATATTTTGCTGAGCTGCACCGCTCTGCATGCATCCCCCATGTGTTTTCTGCTTGCCTTTCAAAGCCACGTCACGTCTCTGAAGTGCTCCTCGTCTCCCCACCCTCCCGCAGCTCACTTCGTGTTTACCTCTCGTTCTCCTTTGATCTTAACAGGTGGCACATTCACATAGGTGCACCAGGGTCCGAGGCAGAGCTCAGTCACCTTTGGAAATATTTAGGTGGCAACTGTGTACGAGTACTGCTTTGATGTGTTTCCAGCTATGTTATTCCTTCAAAAATCTTTTCTAGATCTGCTTAAAACAGCATTTCAGAGGCCAGAGAGATGGCTCTTGGAAAGGCTTCAGGTCCAGTACCCAGCATCCACATGACTGTTCACAACCATCCAGAACTCCAGCCACAGGTTCCAAGGCCCTCTTCTGGCCCCCATAGGCACTGTATCCCTGTGGTACATGCCGGAAAAACACCCACCCATACACTAAAGTAAAAATAAACAAAACTTTAAAAAATAGCATTCTAATAACCTCAGCCATAAGTTCATCTCAAACAGCCGCAGTTCCGTTCTTACGAGTATACTAAGAGACTGTCATAGCCAAAGCCCAGAGCTAAGAGTAGACGTTCTGTTACACAGAGACCAGGGTTATTATTGATGGTTAAGCACCGCTATACCTTATAAAAAGATTTTGTAAATCATAGCACCTGTGAAAATGTTGGCTTTGTATAACTGATTTATTGGTACACATGCCAGAGCATGCGTGTGGAGGTCAGAGGACAACATTCAGGAGTCAGTTCTCTACTTCCACCTCACACACGTTCTAGAGATAGAACTCAGAGCATCATTATTGATCATCAAGTGTCTTATCTTCTGAGCCATCTTGCTGTCTCTGAAATAAATGGCTTTTTTCTACTTGAAGTTAATGTGTATAGGTATTTTGCCTACAAGTATGTCTGTGTAGCACATGTGTGCCTGCTGTCCACACAGGGCATTGGATCACTTAGAACTGGAGCTAGAGATAGTGGTGAGCCACCATGTCAGGGCTGGGAATCAAACCCAGATCCTCTGCAAGAGCAGCCAGTGCTCTTAACTGCTAAGCCCTCTCTCCAACCCTGCCTTTATGTATTTTAATATAGCTACAACGTGTTTGGCCATAGGGTCATGTAAAGTATCCCATCAATGCCACGGTGGCTGTCACTTGACACTAGAACCCTCAGAGGATGGAGTCTAGAAACAGTTGTTGAAGGTAGACTTTAGGTGCAAAGAGTGTCTTCGCCAGAGAAGAGAGCACTTTAGGTTTGGAAGAAGTCATGGCCAAACCCTGGGCTTGGAACCTCAGCCACGGATAAGTCTTCTAAGTCTGATGTCGGCTCGCATGACTCTAGCACTCTCTCATGGAAGCTGGCACAGATGTGGGCTTGCTGAACCTGCATCTCTGTAGGAGACAGGGCCTCAAACAAGGCAGCAGCCCCCAGCACCAGATCGCTTTGCCATGACCAGGACTTATGTCATTTTGACTGCGTTGTTACCCGATGTTCTCGGTCCTGACTTCCCACTTTACTCATTGTCATACAGGAGGACCCTGTTCCAAACGGTCTCCGGGCACTTCCTCTGTTTTATGCTGCTACTATAGCAATAAATGTCTTTTCCATCATGTACACAGGAGCACCAGGTAAGACCCCCTCCGCGGAATCTTAAGTCTACAGGAAGGTCTATTGTAGTTTAACAGCACAGGCTTGCTTTGGAGCTGGTATCGGTGTTGGCTAATAGTAAAAAGCATTGCTCACAGTCATTGTGGAATAGTGGGAAAAAAAATGTATTTCCTTGTTATAAATACCGAGAAGATACATGAAATACAAAAACAGCAGGCTTTCAAGTTAAAGTAAAGTCCCGTCCAGCCGTTGCCCAGCTGTGTTGCCCTAGCAGCTGACTGAAACTCTTGCAGTTGTAAGACATGTTCTAATAGCTACAGAGGGTCCGGATTTGGGAGCATCACTGGTGTGAGTGTGTGAGTGGTGTGAATCCTGTAGAAACCTAAAGTATGAATATTTTCACACGAACGTGGGGAAAATAAGAAGAAAGGAAGTCACAGGACTTGCTGTCACTTCGTAGCTAAAACAACAACTACAACAACAAAACCAAACCAAAAACCAAGGCTAATAATGGCTGTGGGTAATACAGTATAGGCCCTGACACACACTGAGTTTATCCTATGCCCAGCATGGTGGGAAGTGCCTGCTCCACTATGCAGAAATAGACTGCAGTTGTCCTTAATTATGGATGCTCTTTTTGTTAGTTTGGTTTTGTGTTTGTTTGTTTGTTTGTTTGTTTGTTTGTTTGAGACAGGCTCTCTATGCATAGCCCCACCTGTCCTGGAACTCACTATGTAGACAAGACTAATTCACAGAGACCCACCTGCCTGTGCCTCCCAAGTGCTGGGATTAAAGGCATGTACCACCAGACCCCGTCTTTGGGTATATTCTTGCCTGAACAGCTGCCTCCCCATGATACCAGCCCTGGCTGGTCCTGGGACAGTTGAATAACAATGTGCAGCACCCTTGCATAGACTTTTAATATTCCTAGTGGTGGCAGTGGCTCTGAGCACTAGGCATAGAGCAGATATAGAGACGGGCTGTCAAAATATTTGGAAGCTATTTAGAACATTTAGAATACGTTGATACATTCCATCTGTGCCAGGTTACTTAAGCTGCCTATGTTAGCAAATGTCATGACTGAGACACTGGGGCCTAGTACCTGGTGGAAATTCTGGTCCTTAAGTTTTGCTGGGCCCATTAACTAACACTGAGATCTATTTCTCATCTTCAAAGTGGGTCTGGTTCCAATAGATCCTTCTAAAGATCAGCTCCGTGGATTTCTGTAATCTGTTTCTCACAACAAACGGTGAAGTATTCACTTCAGTGTCTTCTCACCATATAGTCTCATTTCTCATTTCCCCAAAATGACTCACTGTACCAGCAAGATGGTTCTCTTAGCAAATATACAAACATACAGTAAAGATGTAGTAAAAAGATGGATCCAAAAAGAGATGCCAAAAGTCAGGCGAACGTAAATGAACTGCAGGTTTCATAAGAAGATCACAGCTGTCTCCTGACACTGGGAAAAACTAAAAAGCAAGAACAGAAGCAGACAAAGAATCAAGTACAGTGACGTCCAGCCTCCACATTAGTGAGGGCCACAGGCCAGCTGCATCAGCTCCACGTGTGGTCACATGACAAGTGCAGCTTGTCTGGTCTAGCCCTGGCCTAGTGCTCTGCAGCCTGGGTGTCCACTGGGGCCTCACGTGCTGCTTCAGGGTCCGTAACACTAGGTACTTTTCTGTTTTTCTCTTTTGAGGCAGGATCATGCTGTGTGCCTAGGCTGTTCCGGAGTTTCTGCAATTAAATGATCCACAGATCTGAACCCCACCTGGCCAGTCACCGCTTCTGCCATAAGCATTACTTGTTGATGATAGCCATCACATGATGAGCACTCTTAGAAGTTCTGACTAGGGATCTTCACTCCATTTGTGAAAAGTGTGCATGTGTGTGTGCAGGAGGCACACACATGGAGGTCAGAGGACAGCTTTCGGTAGCCTGCCCCTCATGGTTCCTCTCGTTTCTGCCAATGCATGGCTACACACTCACACACAACTACTACCACTGCTGGCCTGGGAGCTTCTGTAGTTATCCTGTCTCTACCTCCCACCTCTCTGCTCTAGGACTACAGTCCTATACCCTGCTTTAAAAAAAAAAAGATGTGTGTTCCAGCATGGGATGCAGGTTGCACAGCCAGTACTTTATACCCCACGCCACCCCTGAGCCATATCCCTGACCCAGCTCAGTCCTTTCTGTCAGCACATGAATCCTCAGACACAAGCCAGCCTGGTTCTGACTTGTCTAGAGAAAACCTGTTCTTGAGGCTGGCTGCTACTGCAGCACCTCTCCCTCTCCCCTCCTCTTCCTCCTCCTCAGCATCCTTTTTCTCCTCCCCCACTTCCTCCTCCTCCATCTCCTTGTCTTCCTTACGTTTGTTTTCTTCTCCTGCCCACCTTCTGTCTTCTTCCTCTCCAGCTCCTTTTTCTTCTCTGCTTCCTCTTCTCCCCTTTTTTCCTCCATCTCTCCCAGTTCTAGCAGCTTCTTGTCCAAGCCCAAGGAAGTCAGCTCTCTAGAACCCAACAGGCTCCCACAACATTTGTAAGGTGGCATGTCCTCTTCTGGGACCTCTGGCTTCCACGGTTGACTGGTATCCAAGCCGTGGAGAAGCAGAAAGGGCACTGTTGGCTAGCGCTGGGGCTGAGGTTAGCTCTAGCTGCCGTCAAGGGCTAGAGTCACAACAAAGTTCTTTACATTTACTTTTTTTTCCCCCAAAATATTTACTAATGCAGCCTGGTTTGAGAAAGCTGCTGCTGTATTTTTAAAGTCACAACTATAGAACAGATTAAAAAGTACCATATTTATTTCAAAAGTGTGACTGACTTTCACAGCATTCTTTGTACATATGTGGCTCTTCTAATACTTTAAAATGTGGCTGTAAAATAAAACAATGCATACTGGCTTCATTTTCCACTGAAGGCAGCAAAGAGCAGGTAAACCTATGTGTGCATATGAGCGTACCTATATACGCATGCGTGTGTCTGACTGTGGGGCATTATCCACAATGTATTGTTATATGACAGGTGAAAGCACACGATAAAATGTGTAGCATAATTATGGATCTGTTAAATGAACAAACATTTTTTTTTTAAAGATGGGTTCTTAAGTGTAGCCCTAGCTAGCCGAGAATTTTCTGTGTAGACCAGGCTAGCTTCTAAAGCACAGAGCTCCACCTACCTGGGCCTCCTGAATCCTAGAATTAAAAGGTATGGTCTCCACTCCCAGTAAGAATGAACTCTCTCTCTTTTTTTTTTTTTTTTTCCAAAATTGACATTTTATAGCCAGGCGTGGTGGCGCACACCTGTACTTCCAGCACTCGGGGAGGCAGAGGCAGGCAGATCTCTGTGAGTTTGAGGCCAGCCTGGTCTACAAAGTGAGTGCAGGACAGCCAAGGCTACACAGAGAAACCCTGTCTCAAAAAAACAATAAATAAGGAAGGAAGGAAGGAAGGAAGGAAGGAAGGAAGGAAGGAAGGAAGGAAGGAAGGAA